GATTCCCATGGACGTTCCACATCTCCGGCAAAATGAAGACGTCATACCTAAGAAAACACCGGGGTGCGGGATTTGTGAATAGAAGATTTTACACATAGAAGGTGGAAATCTAGAATGCCCCTGGTCTCCCACCCGTCGGGACCTGTTTCAAGTCTGACAAATATCGCAATGTACAGGCGAGATGCCTCCGACATCGTGGATTCACACTTAAACCCGCATCACTGGCCTCCACGATGATGGAAGCAAGATGTTGATAACCAGCTTCCTTCGCGAGCCCCTCCAGGTACTCTGTGGAGAATGCTTTCAGGTTCTCACGCAACAGCAATGCCGTCCCACGATTCTTGTGGTAAACCAAGTAGATGAGCAGGAGATTGTTGGCAGGTCCGTCCTCTTTCAAGAGCTTGTGGTCGACCTTTTTCCCCAAAGTCGAGTAGTGCACACACATAGAGCCGCTAATGTCCAGAACGGCAAATCCGGGCTTGCATCTGAGCAGGGGCTTGGAATGCCAATCCCATTTAGAAACAACCTGGTTGCTATCCTGTAGCTGCATTCCATGAAACATGAACCTGTTGAGAATCTATGACTGTTTCTTTCTAAATGTGCAATCTTCTATTTGTGCAGTCTTCTATATTATCAGTGTTGTTCTTCATGCAAAAGCTGCTCTTCACCGATGCCAGCCCACTCCTGGCTGTATGTCTGCTGCACAGGAGAGTCTCTTCCAAGGTCACACTTGTCAGAAATTTCCACTTGTCCTCCTTGTCATCCATGCCCATCAACTTGTTCTTGTCCTCTTTGCTCAACAAAGTGTTGATGTCAATGAATTGGCAGCAAGTATCTGAAAGGTGAAGGCCGGCGCCCTGGCGAGCTTTCAGGTTGATCTCTACCCGGAAGATTGGTCGAAAGAGGGGTTCAGTGGCAGAAGAAGATTGTTGGCGATTGGCCGCATCCAAAAAGTTCATGGCCCACTCAGCACACCCGTACCCCGAGAAGAAGGAGCTCGTGGGTAGATTCTGCCCCTTCAGCCACCATGTTGTATGCCCATTCCTCAGAGCTAGCCCCTTCAACTAAAGGCATCACCCCTTCTTCGTTCTACACAAATAGAAGATCTATTGAATAGAAGGTCAAAGTTTTAGAAAGTACTGAAGCTACAAACCTAGGAGCTGACGGCGCCATTCCAGAGCTAAATGGCCCCACCGGAAACTCTCCACCAATGTAGCAGGCGGCGCAGCCATGCTTGTTGCCAAAAAAACAGTTGTCCCACATGGAATGCTGGGTTCCTACATATATATATATTATATATGTCTATATCATATAAAGTGAATGTGATCTTAATATGCAAAATAGGTCACAGCCCAGTTTCAAGCATTCTCTTCAGGTTTGAGCCACTGGTAACTACATCACTTCTTCTGTAAAGAGCACTTAGTGTCAGTCAATCTTCCAGAAGCAAAAAACAGTGCTGACAGCTGCAAGAAATAGAAGAAGTCTTACATAGAAGTGGGCCCAGGGTATGGGAAAAAAGTTGTTGAGGTGGAGCGAGGGTAGCGCTACTTTCGGTATGTTGGACCTTGTCCTGAAAGCTACTTCTATTTGATTGGCCGTTTGTGTGATTTTTTGACAAGGTAACCATATAGAAGCCGGCCTAGGGGGAATTTCTTCTATAATAGGTGGGTGGGCAATGATGAAAAAATGATGTGGTGAAACATGGATGATCCAACCCCCCCCATGCCCTGTGCCTACTGCAAAAACCTCCCGATCAATGAGTAGGCTCAGTCAACAGAAGATCTATAGATGTCCTGGTGGATGTCCCGCCCCCTTCAAGCAGGGCGATCGCGGCCAGCTGCAGCCGCTGGGCTCCACACCAGCAGGAGCAAAATCAGGATCTGGAGCGGCGGTTCAGATTCAACGCCGCGAGGCAAGCGCTCGCGGCCCTCATCATCACCCTTGTGTCGTCGTCCTCATCGTCATCTTCATCGTCATCATCATCATCATCGTCATCATCATCGCGATCACTCCAGCGCCACCATTGCCGCCGCCGCTGCCAGCGCAGCTCCATCATCGTCGTCCTCCTCCTCCTCCTCCTCCTCGTCGTCGTCGTCGTCGTCGTCTCGTCATCATCATCATCATCGTCGTCATCATCATCATCATCGTCATCTTCATCGTCATCATCATCATCATCGTCATCATCATCGCCGTCAGTGCAGCCATCATCATCGCGATCACTCCAGCGCCACCATCGCCGCCGCCGCTGCCAGCGCAGCTCCATCATCGTCGTCCTCCTCCTCCTCCTCCTCGTCGTCGTCGTCGTCGTCGTCCGCGCGCAGACGCGCGGACGACGCAGCCGCTACAGCGCGCCTACAGGACCATCTTTAGATAGGTGCTCGGACGCAGGCGTGTAGTTACAGGTGTTTAGATACAGGTGAAGATGCAAAACTCACCTACGCAACTACACTTGAACATCTTTCAAATCTTCTGTTGGGTGGGAAGATGCTCCAACTTGTGCATTTGCGTGCCTGCACGCCGTCAGGTATTGGGAAACGTCGGCGTGATATGGGTAAGTGCGGCGCGAGCGGGATTTTAGGGGTGTGGTGACCGGTGTGGTGTCATGTGCTTACCTCATGGTCTGTGGCACATGCTCCGCAGGGCGCGGCGAAATTATGTCTCGCTGTCCAATGCGGCTTGGCGCGGCCTTGGTGGAAACCGCGTCTGCGCGGCGCTGTTCCGTTGGGGAACGGGGAACTTTGTGGCGTAAGCGAGGCATGTCGCTGGTGAGCGGGATGACTGGTGGTGTCAACAGGGAACTTGTTTTGAAATCACCAGGGTAGGTGCAGGCTGTAGTGTCGTCAAACAGTTTTACATATGAAAAAGACGCAGGCAATGCGACCCAGGCAATGCGACCTTAAATGGTAAATGCAAAATCTACCACCCAGAAAAATGTAACCTTTAGAGGTTGCATTTTTTGAACATGTGTTTTGTTTTTTGGCGAGAAAGGCACTGGCTGCGAATCTGCGATCGTTTTGAGGGTGCAATCTGCGAATCTGCAGCAGTAGATGTTTAATCAGCTTCCTCCTCTCCCAGAAGCAAATCTGAATACAGTTTTAATCACGCTGCTCCAACGTCTCCTCGAGGTTCTTTTTCTAATTTTTGCTGCCTTGGTGATATATAATTGGCTGCAATGTTGGTTCGCTGGCAACTGGTTCGCAGGCTGCGCTGGACAATGCTGCTTGGAGGGTGTAGGGCATTCGCTTGCTGCCAGTCTCGTAGAGGCAATGATTCTTCTGGGCGAGGTGTTCTCCAGCAGCGGCAGGAAACAGTTGCCAATGACTACTGAGGCTTCAGCAGCGGCAGTTAAACGGCGCAACCTTGCAGCAGGCAAGTCCTGCCCAATCAAACTTGCAGCAGGGGAGCCCGAAACTTCGCCCTAAGCGCAGTGCTGCTCCGAGAAGTCGGGCAGAACCGCTGTACATAGAGCGACGTTTTGCGGAGCAGCGCTGCGATGCTCCACGTTGCAAACCAAAACACGGGATCCGCGGCTCCAAGAATGCAATCGGAAATTTTCACAAAAGTGCGACCCGAACATGCAAGTTCCAAAACACGGGAATCAACAAAACGATCAAAAAATGATAAACAATGTAAAATGCAATTCGAAAAACGCAAAAACAAAAATGTAAACTTATTAAAACTAAGAAAATGTAGCTAAAAGACAAAAATAACGTTTAGACTCGAAATCGCATTGTAAGGTAGTAAAAACAACCGTGCAAAAGCGACTGCAAAAATCTGGTTTCTGAAAAATGGCCCGCCGGAGGGACAGCAAATTCCTATTTCTCTTCAATCTGCCAGAAATCATTTTTGCAGAACTTCTCCTGGAAGGAAAGGGGGCAACACTTTTTGCGCGTTTCTAATAAAATCGCACCGCATGTTTCAAGTTTCAAGATTGTTTGGTGGGCTTGTCTTTCCGGAATGAAAGAACCACTACCATTTTTTGCGCTCGCAAGTTTAACTGAAAGGTTGTCACTTGGGGATATTGTGTTGTCTCGTCCTGTTTGTTTTTTTAGGGGTGGCTTGTCGCAGTTGTGTGTTGGCTGTCTGGGGGCACAAGGCTCCAGGATTCTACGCGATTGAACAGTGCAAACGCTCCAGCAAGGCTGAGCAGCTGCTTGAGGCTCGGCTTGGCGCTGGCTTGGTGTTTTTTGTTTAAATTGTAATGGGTACCAGCCACGCCGAATTTGAGCTATTGTTACTTTTAATTGGGAACTCCCAAGCAGGTGTCGTTTCCTACGTGAGCACCTTCTGTAATTTTTGATTGTGTGTGGCAATTTTGTCATATTGCAAAAATTGCATTTCCTAGTTACACTTTGCCAATTTTTTCAAAGTGTGCCTGAGTCCGACGATGTCAAAATTTGGTGTCACGTGATTGAAGTGGCTCTGTGGCACAGGTGCGGCGAAAGTACGTCTGTGATGTCGCCTTGCCATGGGGTTTCGCAAAGTGCGCTTCCGTGGTTTTGTGCCGTTGAAGAACGGGCAACATGGGCAGTGGGAAGAGTGTCCTACAAGAGTGTCCCACAAGCATGCCCCACAAGAGTGCCCTGCAAGATTTCCCTACACAAGGGCGCCCCACAACACTGTCCCAGAAGAGTGTCACACAAGAGCGTGCCACAAGAATGCCCAACAAGAGTGTCCCACAAGCGGTCTACAAAAAGGCCCACAAAAATGTCCAGCAGTGCCTTACAAGGGTGTCCTACAAACATTTCCCGCAACAGTGTCCTGAGAGTGTGCACACGGGCGTGCAGCAAGAGTGTCCCACAACACTGTTCTACAAGAGTGTTGTGCAAGAGCGCCCCACAGGTGTATCTTGAGGCTATCACACGTTCTTTTTGCACCAGCACCATTGCGATCACCAACATTAGTATCATCACCACCATCATTGTCATCATCGTGTTTTTGGGCCGCCCTGTCGTCTAGTTTGATACTTTGACCGCGGGTCTTTACATGTCAATGTGTAGGCCTTGGCCAGTGATTTGAATGGTCGCCTTCGTGCAGCGGGTCAGAAGATCTTCACAGCAACCACAGTTATGGAGTGGAGAACTTACTGGGAAGATGAACGGCAAAGAAACTGTGCATGAAAGCGCAAAGAACCTCTCATTGCTGTAAGTTGACAGGCTGAAGGCTCGAACTGCAGCTGCAACAGCCGCAGCAGCTGAAGCAGATGCAAGAGCAGCAGCTCAATTTTCATCGACCAAATCTCAGAAAGCTGTCGAGAAGAAAGGTTTTAGTTTTTGGATTTTGATCAAACATGGAGTGGACAAGCTTGAGGAAGTGTTTGTGTGACTGAGGAAACCCAATGCGAAGAAAGGATCCAGGCACTTTGCAAGCTTGTCATCTTGTATTTTACGGCATACGCATGAATGAGCAGGCCCAATGCACGCTTGGCTTTCTAAGTGGGGCTTCCTCTACATCGACATTGTTCTAAGTCAGGCAAGAGGATTCTTTCGAAAACATCAACCAAACCAATAGCCGCACTTCAAACATGGTGGAGGGGGGCTTGGTTGAGCAAGGCCGGAAGCAGCCAGCCCATACTGAGACCTGGAAATCACTTTTCCTCATGTGTCTTTTGGTTGTGACAAATACTTCTCTTATTGTGGGACAAATGTTATTTGTAGGAAAAGTGGTTTTTGCAGTGAAACTAGTCCGTGTATTCTTTTCTAGTGCCCTCAGACGGGGCTTTCAAGTTTTGCTTGCATTCCACAAGGAATGCATTCCACAAGGAATGCAGATGCATGCCAAATTAGAATAGGCGTGCAGACAAAACGGCTCTTCCTTTGGGTATTCTTTTTGATAGTGACCTTCAACCCAGCACTCGCAGTGCTCGCTACTTGTGGAGTTCTGGAGAGGTTGCATTGTTTCGAAGGACCTTGCTGGAAGACCGTTGTTGGCATGGTGTGCTGGGCGCCCAGAAAGCAGATTGGATTAAGCGCTTGGATTGGATAGTGTGGTAAATAAAGGTGAAGGCAGCCCTGGACAGTGGATGTTTTGACGAGGCCAGTAATTGACGTCCTATGTAAAGCTGCTTTGATTGAACTCTTGAGTTGGCGGACTCTGAGCCACTTTTTTCGGCTATTCCAGAATTGGAAGTTTTCTGCAATCTGTATGTGTATGCAATTTGCGCAGTTGTATGGTTGTTTAAAGTTTAGAGTTACACATGCTAAAATGTGATAGGCCCTCATTTCTTTGTGGCTGTTCTTTTCAAAAGGGACGTGAGGTCATAGGGTAGAGGGCAAATGCACTTTGAGATCAGCATTCTTGGACAAAACCAATTGGCAGACTGGTCTGCAGGTCTATGTAAGCACAGATCACGATGGCATAGCAGAAGTAGCAGGAAAGTTGGAATCTCAGCAAATGGTTGGCCTTTGATAGTGCCCCATTTGAACAGAATCACTCTTCCAACATGTGTTCAGCAGCTGAAACAAAAGTAGTGAATCTTGATCCACGTGACTCCACTCAGCAATCGATTTTAGCGGCAGTGAGCTAACCGATTTGCCCACGAAAATGAGAAACCCATAGAACACCTAGACGACCGAGTTAATCTAACCTTCGCTTGAAGGCAGTCTTCGCCATTTCGCATTTTCGTGCTTCTCGTTTTTGTGCTTTTCACCTTTTTTTGCGGTTTCGCGTTTTCGTGTTTTTCGCGGTCATCGTGTTTTTCGCGTTTTCATGGTTTTGTTATCTTGGTGTTCGTTGTTTTTGTGTTTACGCCGCGGCTTTGATCGTGTAAGCGTTTGGCTCTGTACTCATTCAAGCAGTGCATCCTATTGTGCAGAGGGCATGTATTGCTATTGTGAAGCGACGGACTGATCTTATACTTAGCCACATTGGGAAAATATAGCGTTCCTTTTAACAGGGGCGCGTTTACTCATAGAACGAAAAATAGAACCATGATACCTGGGAGCACAGGACTTTTTCACTTTTTCTCTGGCAGATCCAACTCGTGTCTTTTGTTCACCGTTGTAGGGGGGGTACTAGAGGCGGACATATACTTATGAATGAATGAACCTATCTATTGTCAGTCTGTCTAAAATCCAAAGGCTTTAAACTATACAGTATCACGAAAGGTAGCCTCAGCTACCTGAATTCAATTAGCTTTAGCTTCAATTGTATCGTGGCTTGGTGTGACTGGTTCGAATCGATGCTGTGGATCTTTCTTTGGGTGGAAGCCAGCGGAAGCCATGAGAAGCTTAGGTGCCCCGTCCCCTCAAGTATGTAGTTCTAAGTACCTGTTCCAAGTATGGCCACCCCTCATTGTTCAAAGTGTTTCGGCCAGCGGATTCAAAACAAATTAGTAGGTTCCATACATGTTTGTCACCGTACATTCTGGAAAGCTTTATTTAGATTTGACCACCCCAGCCCAGGCATTGTCCAATAAGCCTTCACTAGATGAGGAGCACAGCCCTTGATTCTAGCATTAGAGGATTTTTGTGTAACAAAGAACTCGATCCGAGGGGCCTGCTTTGCATGTGAATGCCTTTTTTTGTGTCGCGGAGTCTGCTCGTTTGTGATATGCGGCAATTGTTCCTTTTTCGCGTGTTCATTGGTTTTTGCCATTTCGTGCTTTTCGCGTTTTGGCGGCTTTTGTGTTTTGAATGTTGCGGTTTTCGTAGGTTTCACGGTTTCGCGTTTTCGTGGTTTTCGCATGTGTTCGCGTTTTTGCCCCTGATCCCTGAACATCTGCTTCAGCGGACGACACAAAAGACCATTGCACTGTAGTGTCACTCGTCCACAGAGTCAACGAGGCTGCATGCTCATTGGATATATATATATATATATTAATTACGATAGTGTTGATTGCTGCAGATCAGGGCTGGAGCTCGTGTTCATCGTCGAGCGCCAGAAACTGCCACTTCTTCTGCTAGCACAGAACTGGCCATGGCCGAAAGCCTAGGATGCTGTAGGTTCTAAAAGGAAATTCATTGTGTCCAAGTGTCCGACATGTCGTCGAAGCTAAAAGATGCTATTCACACCGCTTCGCGGTCGAAGCCGCCCGCACGGTTCAAAGGGAAAATACAGAGATGTCATCGACTAGGCGGCGCACAGACAGACACATGCAGACATTCAGAACCTGTGCTCGCGCTGGCGGGAAGAAACGTGTACATTCTGTATCGAACTTTGGCATCGCCGGCGCATATCCGGTGTAAGTCCTTGACGTGCCTGTGCGTGGAGGAACGCTTTGGACTCTTGAAAGGGTGTTTCTGTATGAAGGTTCCCAATAAGATGCGTTCGCTGTAAGAAGCGTGCACGCCGAGGCACGATGTCAATAGTGCAGTGGTCCGCCAAGTGCAACAGGATGGCGGCGCTGAGTGCCCCAGCGACCGGTTCTCATACTGCGAGAACGGACCCGACCAAGCACGGCTGCGACGTCAGGACTTATTCAAGACGCTTCGCGTCGACAGCCGCCCACACCGTGCACGAACAGCCGAAGTTAGTGAAATGGAAGTAGCCATCTAGGCGCCAGGGTGGGGACAAGTGCAGCCATCTAGGCGCCAGGTTGGCTGTCTTACGGCTGCGTTGGAGCCATCTTGGGGCCAACTTCGTCTACCTTGGGGCCCATAATGGTGATACAACTTCGGCCTTGCCAAAAGCCATCCAAAAATACACCTCCAAAGCGCTCTCCCCAGTGGCCCTGCAGCCGAGCAAGAATCAATGCAGCAACCACCCCAAAACACAAAAACTCCTCCAAAACGCTCTTCCCAGTGGCCCTGCAAGCACGACGTAACGAAAGATCATCCAAAATGTACCTCCAAAACGCTCACGCACGCGCAAAAAAAAGGCGCCAGGTTGGCTGTCTTACGGCTGCGTGGAACCATCTTGGGCCAACTTCGTCTACCTTGGAACCCACAATGGTGATACAACTTCGGCGTTGCCAAAAGCCATCCAAAAATACACCTCCAAAACGCTCTCCCCAGTGGCCCTGCAGGCCGAGCAAGAATCAACGCAGCAGCCAACCCAAAACACAAAAACTCCTTCAAAACGCTCTCCCCAGTGGCCCTGCAAGCACGACGTAACCAAAAATCACCCAAAAATGTGCCTCCAAAACGCTCTCACCAATGGCCCTGCAGCCCAACCATAGCCGCGTGCGCGCGAAAAAAAAAGCCCCCCCCATAGCAAAGCTATTTGCGTAGCAGCAGAGCTTAGAGAGCCCCATAGCACGCCCTGCAGCGACAAGCGGTGTGGGCGGATTTTCCACAGATCAATCACGTGGGCCACGTCCTCAGCATTGAGACCGTGTCGTCATGTGTCCTCCCACCGATATCACTCGCGCCAGTCTACTTCTTCTGTCAGCTGTACCCACCAGTCTCATAATAACACTCGTGGTGCTTTTTTTGTCGGCGATGAGGTCATCGCTGGCGACCATCCGGCGCAGCTCCGTTCTGTCGACGGCAATTCGGCCGACGTCCTCAGCATTGAGACCGAGTCGTCGTGTGTCCTCTCACCGATATCGTTTGCGCCAGTTAACTTCCTCTGTCAGCTGTAGCCATCAGTGTCATAACACTCGCGGTGCTTTTGGTCGCCGATGAGGTCATCGCTGGCGACCATCCGGCACAGCTCCGTTCTGTCGAGGAAAATTCGGAGTGCGGCTGCGGAGACACCACCTGCCTGGCGCTACCGATTGTTTCTCCCACAGAACCCTCCACCAAATCATTTTTTCCCCCCCACAAGACCTCATACACACACGCACACATACAGACAGAGACATCCATCCATGCATACAGACATGCACGCATGCAGACACCCACGATGTCGATATTGCGATCTCCCATGCGTCCGCGAACAATGCGATCTCCCCAGTTTTCACCACAAGCCCTCATACGCACACATACAGACAGAGGCATCCATCCATGCGTACAGACAAACACGCATACAGACATGCATGATGTCGATATTGCGATCTCCCATACGTTTGCGATGTCGATAATGCGATCTCCCCGGGGCGGCGTGACCGGCCTCGCCAATGTTTGGTCCAATTTTCTCCATCTTCTAAAAGCATTG